AAAGGGCGCCGCCATGTCAGAGTCGGGCGGAACCGACCTCGCTGGCTTCCCGGCTGCAACTTCCGGCGCATGCGCAAAGCTTGCGCTACCCCGAGGTCCGCGGACAGGCGCATGCGCTCATGTATCCAGAAGTTCTGTATGACTCTACTTCTGCACTTAGAACTGTCCTCATTGTAACCTCTCCTTGGTTTTCTATTCCAAACATAACAGTAACAGCTTTCTCGCGTTCAGCGATTACTGTGTGCCAGGCACTGTGTTAAGCACTTTACGTGCATGATCTCATTAAGTCTTCTCGCTAACCATAGGATAGTCTTTTTCTCCCCCTTTTTGAAGGGAAAACGGAGCCTCAGGAAGAGTAAATGAATTGCCCATTGTCACGCGTCTTAGAAGTGGAGGAGCACAGACGTGAACCTAGTTGTGGCTCCCAAGTTGCAGATCCCCGCTTATGTTTTTCTGCTTCCTGAGCCAACCATTGCCCCATTTCCTATTTAGGGCAGATCCAGGATTAGCCTGCCTGAAAAGGAGGGTGCTGGAAACAAAAGTGTCTGCAGACTCAAACAGTCCCTGTGTGGCCTCTTTCCAGCTTTGCAGCACCTCTACACCATTGACTTCTCTACTTCCTCACAGTTCGTGGCCTCTTTGCTTTACTCCCGATCCTGTTTATTTCCCAGGAGAGTTTGTTTTGTTTTGTTTAGATTTTATTTATCTATTTGAGAAAGAGCGTGAGCTGGCGGGGCGGGGGGCGGGGGTTCGCAGGTGGGGGAGAGGGTATGTGTGCGGGGAGCAGAGGGCCAGGGAGAAGCAGGCTCAATCCCAGGACCCTGAGATCATGACCTGAGTTCCTTTTTTTTCTTTTTTTTTTTTTTTTAAGATTTTATTCATTTATTTGAAACAGAGAGAGAGAGATCACAAGTATGCAGAGAGGCAGGCATAGAGAGAGAGAGGAGAAAGCAGGCTCCCCGCTGAGCAGAGAGCCCGATGCGGGCCTCGATCCCAGGACCCTGAGATCATGACCTGAGCCGAAGGCAGAGGCTTTAACCCACTGAGCCACCCAGGCGCCCATGACCTGAGTTTCATCCCAGGACCTTGGGATCATGACCCTGAGATCATGATCTGAGCCAAAGGCAGAGGCTTCACGGACTGAGCAACCCAGGCACCTTCCCATGGGTTTTAATAACACTCTTGCCAATACCATGAACTTCTTTGGTCCCTTGTCTTTCTGTCACATGGATTTGGTAAGCTTTCCAACCCTCACTAAATCCAACCGTGCCTTTTCTCTTTGCTGGCACCCAAACAGCCATGCACAGTTGGACAAAGTACCCTAAGGGACAGATTGTTCCCTACAAATTCATGATCACTAGCCTGGAGAGGAACTTCAACAAATGTCAGTCTGGCCAAGTCACTCCTCTTCCCTTCACAGTCAGTAGGGACACTAAAAAGCTCAGCAGCAGTTGACTTCACCCTTTTCTTTTACAGGAAAATCATAGCAAATCTGATAGGACCCCTCTTGTCCTCCCAACACAAAGGACACAAATACACCTCTGTGTCCATCTGTGTTGGATGTAGTCAGCTCAGACTTAACGTCTGTTCCTCCAGAGTCTAAAAAGTTAAAATTCCATTTCCCAGACTCAGGTGCAGTTAGAATTCCAGATACAGATGGATTCTGCCAGTTTGTAAGACTGGATGGAAGGAAGAAAGGAGGCAATAGCTATTTGTCCTACCGACGTTAGTTGGTTGCTGCTGGCAAGCAAGGTCACGCAGATGTGAGGGTTTGCAGCAGTGCATGGCGGCTAGTCTCCAGCTTCACGAGTGTTCAGACGCACCTGTGAGATGGTGACAGCCAAACGCAGCATTCTAGTGCGGGGGAACCAGCTTCTAGTCCCAAATTTAGACCCATGGTGATCTTGCTGGTAATATGTTGAATGCAGTAATCTCGGTGATGACTTCTTGATTCCTTATCTTCCTGATTGTGGCAGAAGTAATAGCCTCTGGTTGGTGAGTTCTATGGTGTTCTGGGAGCCATATTACTAGACCCTCTAGAGACCTTTCTTTCAACCCCTGTGATAATGTTATAAACACTTAATTTTCTGTATTAAATCCCTTTCTGCTTAAAAAGAAGTCTGAAGGAGCGCCTGGGTGGCTCAGTGGGTTAAAGCCTCTGCCTTCGGCTCAGGTCATGATCCCAGGGTCCTGGGATTGAGCCCCGCATCAGGCTCTCTGCTCGGCAGGGAGCCTGCTTCCCCCTCTCTCTCTGCCGGCCTCTGCCTACTTGTGATCTCTGCCTGTCAAATAAATAATAAATAAAATCTTTAAAAAAAAAAAAAAAAGAAGTCTGAAGACAACATGAGGAATCCTTGTAGAATGGAAATGTTCTGTACCTTGACTGTATATCACTGTCAGTATCCTGGTTGTGATATGATGGTACTATAGCTGTACAACATGAGAGCATGGAAGAAAGTGGGTGAAGGGTGGTGGGATTGCTCTATATTGTTTCTTACAATGGCTGTGAACTGGGGTGCATGGGTGGTCAGTCGGTTGAGCGTTCGACTCTTTATGACTCTTGATTTTGGCACAGGTCGTGATCTCAGGGTTGTGGGCTCTGCGGTCAGCACACGCTCTCTCTCTTTCTCAAAACAAAAACATGGGCACCTGGGTGGCTCAGTTGATGAAGAGTCTCCCTTCAGCTTAGTTCATGATCCCAGGGTCCTGGGATAGAGCCCTGCATGGGGCTTCTTGCTCTGCAGAGGACCTGCTTCTCCCTCTCCCTCTGCCTGCCGCTCCTGCTGCTTGTGCTCTCTCTCTCTCTGTTGAATAAATAAATAAAATCTTAAAAAAAAAATCCACAAGAACAATTGCATGTGAACCTACATTTTTTTTTCAAAATAAAAAGTTTAAAGAGAATGCCCAGCAAGGTTTCTATTTCTGCAGGAAACTGACCTCCAAGGGGGTCAAGGCTTTAGAGTTGAACGTGATGCAGATCTAGCCTACTTTGCCTTGGGAAAAAGGAGTTACAGAAATTATCACTTATCACAGTTAAGTATTGTTGCCTGGGGGAACGTGCCTAATAAAGATAGGCTTTAGTAGATGGAGTAGCTGCCACAACTGACCATTAGAGGAGAAGGAGGACTGTAAGGACTGTCACGTAGGCTGCCTATTTATAATTGCACTGACAACTTTCAAAAAGGAAATATTTAGGGTTTAAATTCTCAGCTCAAGACAGGACCAGAGAAGCGAGGGCCATTCCTGACAACTCTAAAAAAGTTATCTCCTCTCTTGTAGCTACAGGGCTTATGTAGCCAAAAATTGGACAGAGCTGATCCTGTGGGCTGCTGAATTGTAATACAATTACAATAGAAGTTGTATTCACAGGCTGGCTAGGTGCATTGAATGGGAACGAGTGGCACTTAGCAATTAAGATGGGGGGTGTTTGGGTGGAGGCAAAAGACTAAGTTCCCTGACCTCTCCAAATCCAAAATTCAGTGAAACTCTTACCTTGGATGCGGCACTCTCTTCCCCATTCAATGAGACTGACCCTGCTTTCCCTGGAAAGCACGTAGGTCCTTATCTGAGGAAGTTACTTTGCAAAAAGATTCTGATTCCGCTCAGAGATCATTATCCTTTATTGGTCTCCAGATCTGTCCCAGTCCAAAGTGCCCCAGGGAACAAGCACGTGGTCTGACCTAGAGGTAAATTACTGATTTAGGAAAGCAAGCAAGCAAGGAGGGGTGAAAAAAAAAAAAAAAAAAAAAAAGAAGCAAGCCCCAGCTAAACCGTGTGCTGAAACGTAGAGAATATACCTGTAACTTAGACATGTTAAGTCAGGAGGAAGGAACATAAGATTAAACTTGGCTGAATTTATAAATATAAGTGAACCCCAAGAGACCCTGGGGTTTTAACGTCCCAGATCCAACAGCTGAGAATGGTTCTAATAGCACAGTTGGTTGATTGATAGTTGAGACCCAATAGTAGTCGTCATTAAATGAAGGTGAGATGCCAGAAATTCCTTAGAACAATCCAGAAGGAGGAAATCTACAAATTCAGGCTAGGTGGCCAAGAGCAGGAGCTCAGTACACCCTGCTGCTGAAATGAGTGAAGGATGCTGATTGCCTGATTTCTCACCGGTTGGGGCGGCGGTGGCGGGGTGGGGGGGTTGCTGCAGTCTATTACTTCAGACCACCCCCTCCCACGTCTCCCCTCCCCTCCAACCCCCCCTCCCCTTAGCTGTCCGAGGGACACACAGGGCCCCTCACCGTCTCTGGAGTCTCTGGCCAAAACCTCACCCACCCCCTACCCTAATGTCCCAAAGCTCAGTTATCATTTACACGTGGGTCTTTTCCCAACGAGGAGAACTTCAGTGGTTGGCTAACATGTGGCTATAAACTTGAAAGGCTGTAGATAAACTGACAAATGTCTATTTATGCAATTTAGCTTATCAATTTGATCACACACAGGTTGAAAATCATGAACTATGTAACAATATATTAATTTATAAATGCAACGATGTTTTCTTTGCCTGTTTATCATGAAATGGTTTTCTTCACTCTTCACAGTCATCCTTGACATACACTTTTTAAATTCACGTCCATTCTGAAAATGTTATAAAGTACTAGATAGAATAGGGCCTACTGGCTGGCTCAGGTGGTGGAGTGTGTGACTCTTGATCGCGGGGTCATGAGTTTGAGCCCCATGTTGGGCACAGAGTTTACTTTAAAAAAGAAAAAAAAAAAAAAAAAGGAAAGAAGGGGTGCCTGGGTGGCTCAGTCAGTTCGGTGTCGGACTCTTGATTTTGGCTCAGGTCATGATCTCAGGCTTGTGAGATCAAGCCCCACAGGGGGCTCTGGGCTGGGTGTGGAGCCTACTTAAGATTTTCTCTATCCCTCTCCCCCAATACTCTCTCTCTCTCTTTCTCTCTAAAATAGATAAATAAATCTTAAAAAAAAAAAAATAAAGGGGCACCTGGGTGGCTCAGGGGGTTAAGTGTCTGCCTTTGGCTCAGGTCATGATCTCAGGGTCCTGGGAGGGAACCCCACATTGGGCTCCCTGCTCAGTGGGGAGCCTGCTTCCCCCTCTCTCTCTGCCTGCCTCTCTGCCTACTTGTGATCTCTCTGTCAAGTAAATAAATGAAATCTTAAAAAAAAAATAGAGGACTATATAAAATAATATAATAAAATATTAAACTAGATACAAATAAGAAAATATTTTCTATTTGCCCACCATCCAGATTCAACAGTTGTTTGGCTACAGATACTTAATACATCATCCTTTCTTTTTTCTTTCTTATTTTTTTGAGTAGGCTCCATGCCCAGTGTGGAGCCCAATGTGGGACTTGAACTCATGATCCCAAGATCTAGACCTGCACTGAGATCAAGAGTCAGATGCCCAACCAACTGAGCCACCCAGGTGCCCCTGGGTGAATAAAAATAAAAATACTGAAGTATTTTATCTATCTACTTACTATTTTTTAAGAGATTTATTTCTTTATTTTAGGGAGAGAGCCATGAGGCAGGGAGGGGCAGAGGCAGAGGGAGAGGGAGAAAGAGAGAGAAACTTCAGCAGACTCTGCCCTGTGCATGAGCCCTGAACGGGGCTCCATCTCACGACGCTGAGATCATGACCTGACCTGAAACGAGACTCAGATGGCCAACCAAGTGCACCATCCAGGCACCCCCTTCCATGCCCCGAAGTATTTTAAAGCAAACCCCAGGTATGTCATTCAACCCTCCTATCGCTCAGCGCGTGACTCTTACGTATCCATGATATAAGATTTTAAAAACAAAATCTTTTTTAATAAACTTTTTTTTTTTTTAAAGAATGTTCCTTGGAATCACATCCTCTAGACCATCCCACGTTCTGGATTTCTCTGTTTGCTTCCTCGTGCGTCATCTGAATAACTCTTCTCTCCTTCCATTTCCTGCAAATTCAAGGGAGAGAGGTAAGTAGATTCAGGTCCAACATTTTTGGTAAGAGCATGTTCTAGATGCTGCTGAGTCACATCAGGGCCCCCCCTCAGTGGTGCTAAGATCAATAGCGGGTTTGGGTGGGAGCAGCCCGATTCCTTTTTTGGAAAGTTCCTATCAACTTCCCATGTAACGGTTCCTTCCTTTGAAGATCCTTGCCTGAATCAATGATTTCATTAGAGGTTGTAAAATGATGCATTTCCTTTTTTTTTTTAAATATTTTATTTATTTATTTGACAGACACAGATCACAAGTTGGCAGAGAGGCAGGCCGAGAGAGTGGGGAGGAAGCAGGCTCCCCACTGAGCAGAGAGCCTGATGTGGGTTCGATCCCAGGACCCTGGGATCATGACCTGAGCCAAAGGCAGAGGCTTTAACCCACTGAGCCACCCAGGCGCCCCAAACGATGCATTTCGGATGCTATTACTCTTTCCACACTTATTAGCTGGAATTCCTTTTTTTTTTTTTTAAGTTTTCACTTATTTATTTAAATAACCTCTACTCCCAATGTGAGGCTCGAACTCAGGACCCCGAGATCAAGAGTTACATGCTCTTCCAACTGAGCCAGTCAGACATACAGCTGGAATTCTTTTTTTTTTTTTTTTAGATTTTATTTATTTGAGAGAGAGAGACAGACAGTGAGAGCATGAGCAGGGGGTTGGGGGGAGAGGCAGAGGGAGAGGGAGAAGCGGGCCCCGTCCCGCTAAACAGGGGGTCCTACTCGGGGTTCGATCCCAGGACCCGGGGATCATGACCTGAGCTGAAGGCAGAGGCTTCACCGACTGAGCCACCCAGGCGCCCCACTAACATCCCTTCGTGATTCCAGGATCCAATCCAGGATCCCACAAAGCGTTTCATTGCCTTGTCCTCTTAGTCTCCTTCCTTCTGTGATGGTTTCTCCGTCTTATTTTTTCATGATCTTGACTGCTTGAGGAGCACCAGGCAGGTATTTGACAGAATGTCCTTTGGTTTGGTTTTCCCTATATTTTTCTCGTGGTTAGACCTGGGTGATGGCGTTGGTGGGAAGCTGGGGCATCCCCTTCTCATCACAGGATCGCAGGAGAACAGGTGTCCACAGGTGTCCGGTCAGTTTTAAGTCAAATCACACAAGCAACAATATCCACCTAGAATTTAATTGTATTTTCTTTGGCTTTTGTGGGGACTATCAGTTTTCTGTCGCTGCTATAGCAAAGTACCACAATCTAGTGGCTTGAGGCAACATGTGTTTATTTTCGGTTGGTCAGGAGGCTGACATGGGTTTCACTGTGCTGAAATTAAGAGGTTGTCAGGGAGGTTCCTCCATGAAGGTCCTGGGGGAAAAAAATCCCTTTCCTTGCCTTTTCCAGTTTACAGAGGCCGCCCAAATTCTTGGGCTCATGGCCCCTTTACACCTTCTTCAAAGCCAGCAATGACAGGTGAGTCTCACGTCCTGTCTCTGGCCTTTTTTTCATCAACACATCTCTTTCTAACCCAGTAAGGAAATGCGTTCCAATTTTAAAGACTAGTGTGATTGAATTGTGCTCACTCAAATAATTCAGGATAATCTCTTCCTCTCAAAGTGCACACCTGTGACAATGTGATTTATCATAAGAAATATATGTTATCTGCTCTTTGTCCAATTCCTGGCACAGAGCTCCTCTCACCCTTTCAAACTGCCCAGGTGCTGAGAGCAAGAAAGGCGTCTTTTGGGGGTGCCTGGGTGGCTCAGTCGGTTAAGCCTCTGCCTTTAGCTCAGGTCATGATCCCAGGGTCCTGGGATCGAGCCCCGCATTGGGGGGGGGCGGTCCCTGCTCAGTGGGAAGCCTGCCTCTCCCTCTTCCTCTGCCTGCCACTCCCTTTGCTTATGCTCTATCAAATGAATAAATGAAATCTTTTTTTTTTTTTTAAGGCATCTTTGGGGCGCCTGGGTGGCTCAGTGTAGCTTAAAGCCTCTGCCTTCGGCTCAGGTCATGATCCCAGGGTCCTGGGATCGAGCTCCGCATCAGGCTCTCTGCTCAGTGGGGAGCCTGCTTCCTCCTCTCTCTCTCTCTGCCTGCCTCTCTGCCTGCTTGTGATCTCTGTCTGTCAAACAAATAAATAAAATCTTTAAAAAAAAAAAAAAAGTAGCGATGATGCCTTAAGTAAAATCTGTGTTTTAAAAAATAAATAAATAAATAAAACATGATTTACTTTCCTTCAAAAAAAAAAGGCACCTTTTGTTATGTATTAACAAGGTAACTTTTATTTTAAAATTTTTTTAAAGATTTTTATTTTTATTTGTTAATTTGAGAGAGAGAAAGAGAGGCGTGAGCAGGAGGAGGAACTCTGCGCTGAGCACGGAGCCCCACACCGGCCCGATCCCAGGGCTCCAAGATCAGGACCTGAGCAGAAATCAAGGGCTAGACGCTGCACCGACCAAGCCACCGGGATGCCCCATGAGCTGGCTTTTATTTCTTTTTTTAAGATTTTATTTATTTATTTGACAGACAGAGATCACAAGTAGGCAGAGGCAGGCAGAGAGAGAGAGAGGGAGGCAGGCTCCCTGTTGAGCAGAGAGCCCGATGTGATTCGGGGCTCGCATCAGGCTCTCTGCTCAGTGGGGAGCCCGCTTCTCCCTCTCCCTCTGCCTACTGCTCTGCAGGCTTGTGCTTTCTCTCAGTGTCAAATAAATAAATAAAATCGTAAAAAAAAAAATCAAATGAAAACAAACAAACCTGGTAATCTAGTAAGTAAAATGTTTTACTGACTTCTGTGTGCCACTCTAGCATATAAGGAGGGGGTCATGGGAAGCTCTGATCTAGAAATCAGAATCACAGAGGACAGTGTGGAATTACAATAAGCATGAGCAGTGGGGGGATTGACAGTCATGTGGGAATGAGCCCTTCATCTGTAGAATCTCTCTGACTCTAGGTAGACAGTGTCAGAATAGAGTTAATCGCTTGCTGGTGTGGGGAGAAATCAAACACACACATCAGAATTGATGTTAGAAGTGGAATGCCCTTAATCACTTTTTGAAGTCATTTTTGCTGTGTCAGGAAACATGTTCACAGGTTCTGGGGCCTAGGACGTGGCTATCTTTGGGGAAGCACTATTCTTATGCCATGCAGAGTTACTGGTAATGTACAGAGGTGATACTGTTACATTCAATGAAACAATACTGATTTTCATTTCAAAGTATATTTCCAACAAATGAGCAAACAAACTGAAACAGACTCACCAATACAGAGAACAAACTGGCAAAATAGGTGAAGGGCATTAAGAGGTACAAACTTCCAGTTAAAACACTGGGGGGCCTGGCTGACTCAGTTGCTAGAGCATGTATCCCTCTTGATCTCAGGGTTGTGAGTTTTGGTATTGGGGTTCTGACTTTGAGCCCCACCTTCGGTGTAGAAATCACTTAAAAATAAAATATTTAATTAAAAATAAGGAGGTACAAACTTTCAGTTTTAAAATGAATAAGTCAGGGTGTCTGGGTGGCTGGGTCTTGATTTCAGAGGTTAAGCAGCTGACTCTTGATTTCGGCTCAGGGCGTGCTCTCAGGGTGGTGAGATTGAGCCCTGCATCAGGCTCTGTGCTCTGTATGGAGTCTGCTTATCCTCTCCCTCTGCTCCTCCCCCCACTCGCATGCTCTCTCTCTCTCAAATAAATAAATAAAATCTTAAAGCAACAATAATAATAATTTAAAAATAAAATGAAGAAGTCACAAAGATGAAAAGTGCAGTGTGGGAATGGGGACTGTAGCTGATAATATTGTAATAATTTTTTTTTTTCGTGACAGATGGTAACTACACTTCCCGTGGTGAGCATTTCCTACTATGTGTAAATGTCAAATCATTATGTCTCTGTCAGGCACCTGAAACTGACACAATATTGCACTCCCCTGTCAACTACACTCCCTTTAAAAAATGGTGATAATAAAGTAAATACTTTTTTTCCAATAAAAACGGTTGATTTAAAAGAGGCTGTCGATAAACGTGTCCTCCTCAAATTCATATAGTGAAATGGAATCTCGAGTGTGGTGGGGTTTGGAGGTGGCGCTTTTGGAAGACGATTGGATCATGAGCATGGAGACCTCGTG